TTCCTGAAGTTAGAGACAAGTGAATGAAGTCTGAAGAGAGAACCACAGGGTGGAAATTAAAGAATATCTCTCTAATTGACCATGCTCCTTTGAAGATGCAGCATGCCAGTCACTTCAGTTGCCGCTCTCATCTCAAGGAGACAGACATAGCCAGTGACTCACCATGATGTCCATCACACCAGGAAATGAAATGAATGATAATCCCCCCCACCCAAAAGAAAAATATATATTCTACAGCCATCCTATCTCCTCTTATTTTTGTCTCCCACTCCAAGGTTTCCTTCCGTTGCCTTATCGAATACTGTAATCTTTCCCCCTCACCTTACCTCCCCCCGTTTCTCCTTTTCTCTTCTTTGAACTAATTATGTTTGTCACTTCTTCTTCCTTCCACAGTTGTTCTTCCATAAAATCCTAAGCAGACTCAATTTCAGTTCACTTTCTGTTTTACTAACCTAAGTTATATTTTTCATAAAATCCCATTACATATGCTTTTTGGTCAGCATGATAGGCTTTTTTCTTACCACCAAATGGTAGCATGACATCCATTCTCATGAATTTTTCTTCAAAAGCTTTTGCCAGCCTTTCATAAAAGAGTCAGATATTTCAAGGTAGAGATTTGATATTGGTAATTTACTTCTCTTCCCCTCTCTTGGGGTAAGCATGCACTCTGTGTCTTTCATCTTCCATGCTTCTCCTCACACCACCTTTTGCCTGACTTTCCCTCTGCCTTTTGAGTCTCATATTGTGTCCGTATTCGCCTCCCTCTGAACAGATCCTCCTTTGAGTCATCCTGAAAGTCTTCTCATCCATGTAGGGATCTTCGTGTGGACCTTTTATCCATAATGACAGGGTTATGATGAAAACAGACCACATTGCAAAGTCAAAAAGTCTTGCATTTTTGATGGGGCCAAACCAATTACCTCAGCCATCATGAGTGACTGACAGATGGTGTGCAAAATTGGGAAACCTAAGACACTATTTCACCATGATCATCCAGAATCCATTTCAATGGCAGATGAATAGGGGGGACATTTTCTTGTCAAGAATAATTAATCAAAGATAAGAGACTGGCCTGAGTGAATCAAAGAGCCAATCGAAAAGTATCATGCAGAGAAATGCTTCATATCAGTCATTTTACCTCCTTCTTCCTTTCCAGTGCTTTTTTCCAATATTTTTCTTTAGAGTTGAAATTTGCAGCCTTTCTTCCTTTGTACAGATCATCCAGTATCTCATATCCCCCACCCCCACCCCGCTTGAACTCTCTTTGGACTCTAAATGCTAACTCAGTCAGGCACTTAATCAGACATATTAATTCCATATCTCCCCTGATTGCACTAATTCCACTCTGCAGTGAGTTTCTCTACGGCTTCCCTTTGGTGCAGCACAAATTTAAACTGTCGTGCTGACTGAGGCTGTAAAAGCCTCGCTTCAAAACAAACAAGCTCAAGTGCTTACAACAAATGCACTGCAATGATTATAAGTTGAGCACAACCCGGCATGTGTTAGACTGTTTTGAATCACTCTTTGCTGTTTCAAGCCATCCTAATGGTTTTTTCTATTCAATTAAACTTAATAAACATGTTTTTTTCTCATTTTGTGATAAAAAGTACGTAACGCCAGTGTACTCAAATAAATAAACCTCATCTCACAACATTTTGTCATATACAAATTACCCAGTCTGAAAAAACTGTTTCAGAATCATTTTGACTAAATGACACATGGCTTCATGTGTCTCAAAATCCATAAAGTCTGGTTGTCAGTCAAAGTGAACATTATTTTATAAATATATATATATAATTTTATATCATTATAATTGAGCATTATACAGTGCAGACACAAGCTGCCATGGACAAACACACACACGCACGCACGCACGCACGCACGCACGCACATACACTAGCACACAGAGATCAACAGAATATGACTGAAAAGCCCTGTAAGCTCTCATATTGTCACCACACAAATGGTGTACATAGCTCAGACGTGTATTAATTAAAATCATATGAAAGTAACGATTTAGCCGCATTCTAATTTAATTAAGTCACAGTTCATGTAATTGAGAGAATTACAAAATCGCATTCTTTGTTCCAGATAATTGTATCCCATCTTAATGCCTCTCTGAAATTCTGTTAATTTGTTTTATCTAGTCGCCATCGTCTTCCTTTGACTTTAAATAGAAAATATGGCTCTGAATCTCTGTGCATTCACATCATGAAGAAGCAGACATTTGAGATTTCATGTTTTTTTTCCTTTTGCATATGATCTCTTTGACTATACAAGCAAAATCGGTTGGACTAGAGAAACATGTACTCTTAACAAATACTTAACAAATGTTTTTTTCAATATAAATAGGATTTAACATTTGACCAACTTGTATACATCTATCCTTGTTCCCTTTTTCCCTCTCTGCCTCCAGCCTAGTGTGGACCCTCTCCCAGACCCAGATGGATTTACCATTAGCTAATGACAAATGGCAGGCAGCTGAGCTGATCTCAGCACTTACTGCTCCTTTGGGAGCCTATACTCACCACACCGCAAAACCACACTGACCACCCCCCACCCAAGATCTTAATTGAACGCCGTGGCCATGCAGCCAATTGATTCGGCCTGATGTGCATTTCTGGTCATTTCTAGTAGGTGATGTAGTGTGACCTGTGGGTCAAAATAAGCCGTGATCTGGAGCATAAGGCACTAACATTTGTCTTGATTTGTTGAACCACTAGTCTTTAAGGGAGAGACTTTATCGCTGTGAGTTCAACTGGGATAAAAATTAAAAAAAGAGGAGAACAAATGGCTCAGTAGATCTTTGATTTTCTGGAACTTGTACAGATAGAACAGGGAATGTATTGGACTGATGCTTGAGATGTGAAAAGATAAAAAAAATTGTGGTGTTGCCCGTGCTGAACACTGGAAATGTACTTTTTTATTCAGCAAATATAGTTGCTACAATGTGCCTTTATTTTGCAATCTGGCGCCTTAATTTCTATCATTTTTAACACCAATGTCTGTCTTATTTTCTTGACGAGAATTAACCAGTTCACTACGATCTGCTGCATATCATCAGTTGTTGGTGCTTGTCACATCCCTTGGTGCTACGGTCTTACAATGTAGTTAAATGACAAAACACAGCATATGCACTGTACATAGAACCACACATTGTCTCATCTCTTCCCTTATTGTATAAAGACTTGAATATAATTGAAGCAGCAGCTGTGTCTAACAGACCAGACTGCCTGCATGTTTGAGTGAGGCTTCACTTCTTTCTTTTTAATCAGAAAGAACATACATCTTTTAGACACATTGTTCAACACTGGCTCCAGACATGCTTTGAAAAATGGAATAATGCAGTGTTTTGTCAAAGTAGGAGGAAAGCCAGAGGGTGTTTTGTGCCTGTGTGTGTGTGAGAGGTGCAATATTGATGCTGTTGATAATAACAACAATGATAATGATTACAGCAGCAAAGCCCCATATCCATCATCACTATCTGTGGGCATAATTTGTTATTCTTTGTGAAGTTACAGCCAGAGAGCAATGGGCAGTTTTTTTCAATTTGCTGTGCAGCACTTCATTTTGTTGGACAATTTGCAGAGGTTTTGTCAATTAAATTAACTAGGCCATCTTGTAAACATGTTTCCTGTGCAGCTTTTGAATTATTTTGATCACTGTCAGTGTACCATCATATTCCCATGTATCTTTCTGTAGTATAGTATACAGAGGAGTTGTGCGAACTGAAGAATGTGTTTTCTATGTTGTTCTCACTGCAAAGAAACCCTTTAAAAAGACATAAAGAGTGGGCCACACAAAAGTAGGCTACTGCATCATTTAGAGTCACGATGTCTCCAGTGACTCAGCACGGTAAATGTATAAATGGACTTGAGCTCAGCTTTTCTAGTCTTCTGACTACTCAAAGCGCTTTTTACACCGCAGGTCACACCTACCCATTCACAAACAATCACATACTGATGGCAGAGGCTGCTATGTAAAGTGCCCATCAGTACACATACACACACACACACACCCATACACACACCGCTGATGCAGCAGCGGGGACAACTTGGGGTTAATCGTCTTGCCCAAGGACACATCAACATGTGGCTGCAAGACCTGGTGATCGAACGCCTGACCTCCTGGTTGAGTGATGACACTACCACTGAGCCACATCATTGCACATAAAATACTTTTTACTGAACCATTTGCCCCCCCCAAAAAATGTTCATACTCTAACAGGCTAATTCAAAGCAACTGTTTCTAACTTTAAAGAATTCTATTTAGTACCATTTTATTTAATTTGTTGTCATCAGAGGAAGGTATTTCTGCATGATTGTGACTGATAGATGATTTTCAGGTGACTCTACTAAGCAATACTCACTGGGAAAGAGAAGACAAAACCCTTATCTGATCCAAAGGATGGGTTCAAAAGCACACTTATTTGCACTCTTAGTTTACCGCTCTACACTAATGGAGGGCAGGCGAGATGGGAAGCTTTATCTCTGTTTGCTTTTGTCCTCTATAATTTATTCAGCAGGGTCTGTCCTCTCTGTCATGTGTACATGTATTTGTGGAATACAGGATACATTTGTGTGTTTAAGTGGGTGTGCTTGTAAGGCTTCATGGTTTCCTCTGTCCCCTCGTCCCCGGGGAACGAGCTCTTCGGACTTTACAGTACGGCAGAGTACTGTAAAGCTCCTCTGGTTAGATTAAGGGTTAACCACTGCACTAAAAGATCAGCAGAAGCAGAGACTGCTGAGGAAGCAGTTAAAAGGAAAACTAACAAGATGACTCAATGATTATTTAGAAACAGTAAAGAGAATTTGGAATTAGATGAACTCTTTCCTAGGGGTTTAAAAAATTGCTTTTTTTGGTAGCTGAGTAGATGCATCATCATCTTTCCAAAACGCTGCATTATTCATGAGCTGCTCTCAGAGTGGCCACGAACTGTATCAGTGCAAACCTGTTATCTGCTGATAAGTATTCTCACAGTTTGCCTCTTGTGTTTTCAGGGACAGTGTTACAGTGGATTGGAAGTTAACATGAGGATGACAGGAACCTTTTGGAAGTGTGATTGAATTGGCAGGTAAGAAGTGAATAAGATAGAACTCAAAACTTAACCCAGATCACCTCTGAAAAAAAAAAAAGAGATCAATCTAAAGACTTTTTATTTGACATGAGATAGAAAAAGCATATTCTATCTCAGTCTTTTGACCAAATCATAATCAACCATTTGAGAAAGAAACGTAGTCCAGAGTACCTTGCTTTTTTCACTCTGAAAATGGCCCCCTTCAGCCAAAATAAATCATCCTTACTATCTCAGAACACTACTGCTGCTACACTTCTTAAAGTGTGGGAAAACAGCATAGTCCAAAGGTGTCTAATTTTGGTGGATTGGAAACTATAAATCACCAGTGTGCTTCTCTGTCTGCAGCCCCGTGTGGGCTGGGATAAGCCTCCAGTGCCCTGTGATCATGAAAGGGATTTTTGCAGGAAAATTAATGGCGAAAGGAAACAACTGTGCGCTTTTATTTATTTATTCCGATTTATGTAAGCTATTCAAGGACTGCATGATTTAGCCACCTTCCAAGTAATGTTATGTCCCTTTTGAATTACCTCCTGAAGATACATCTTTGAATGTAAGAAGGGGCAGTCGACTCCAACGTGACTTTTGAAATGTCATCTCAGGAGTCCAGGTATAACGCTAATGAATAGTTTGACCATACTAAAGTTAAAGAAGCCCCTTGCTCCCTCTGGAATACCTCAAAGGTCTGTTTAAAATATCTATTTTATGTTCAGTCCATAAGAAGGAATTATTTTGTGATCCGTTGAGAGGACTTTGCAGTTTGTCTAGATTAATGATCTCTTTGGAAAATAGGGACGATATAAGGGAAAGCATCTACACCATATGGCGCTGTGGGTCCTGTAGCATAACTTTCTTTGGATGTTTTTTTATCATGTTAAATACAATGACTCCAAAGAGATGGTTACCTCCATGGTTAATCTATGACTATGTTGTTCTGGGTTTAACTTGGGCATCCTTTGACTCTTTCCATGTAAAACCCTTGCAGAAGAAATGGCCACAATACTGATAAGTGTGTCTTACATTTGTAAGAGATATACAGACATAATAAAATAGGCCCTTTCACAACTGTGTTGACTGATGGGGAGTTATCATTCTTAACTATAAGAAATAAACGATGATGACAGAAGTCATAATGTCAAATAGGCTGCAGTGTAATGTAATGTATGCAGCCCATAAACATGCTGTTCTAGTTTTGCTGGATGCAATGCATATCCAGGAAAAGGAACATATTTCACAAAAATGCACAATTAAAAAAAAAAAAAAAAAGGATTGGTCTGCTTTTGAAATATAAAATATCAATTAATACGTTTTCTGCAACTTAAGGATAAAGTGCTGTGAAAGTTGTGTGATTGATAGACAAGGACAGAGAAAGATTTCATGGGTCTTACAGGCTTTACCGAATCACAGCACAGCAGTATGAGAGATGACATGCGGCTGCTTTCATGCACGAGTGACTCTGCAGAGAAAATGGAAAGAAAGTCCGGTATAAGGTTATCGAAGTGGAAGAAAATAAGAGGAACTTAATGACTCTCAGCAGTGCTTCAATGCTGGTACCTTTGCTCACACTGTTGGAAGTCTATTTTCATAACACGTTTCACCTTTGTGTCAGACACTTTTTGTTTGTCTCTCAAAGAGGGGTACTGGAGTGCACGGAGAAATACGCCTCTGGTGTGAACAGTCCTGCTGCAACTCATGCATGTAACTTCCACTACATGTCTGCTCCACTTTTGGTGTGAACTATATACTGTGGCAGTGTCAGGCTGCTTTTCCTTTCAGCTAGCATTCGTCTCTGATGATGCTGTACGCCTGCATTGGACATATGCTGTTGTAATTTTTCTGTCTATTATCCCCCGTCACAGTGAATTATTCTGGAGTTGTTGTGAGTTTTGTGCACAGACTATCTGGCGTCTGTATAACTCTTCAGTGTCCTCATGTTGCTTTGGAGACTGATATATATATATAAAAGTGGTGACTGTCAGATGTCCTCACAGAGCTTAAAAGCGTTGAACATAATTTGAAATGACTCACATGAATAGCTGCTTTTGTGTTTCACTTACAGTTCATAGCTGCTTTTCATGGTGTGTTTTCCTTGTTTTATCCAGCCTGTCTATCCATTCCAGCTGAAAGAAAAATTGTGTTTGTTATGGAAATCATATTGATTTAAAAAAAAAAAAAAAGAGTCAATTCACATGCTTTTACTACCTCTAAAACTATTACAACATGTTGAAGAAAAACAAAGGGTGACAGACCTTAGATTGAAAGAGAAACGTTAAAACCAGTAAACCTTTCAAAATATGCTTTAAATACCCTCTGTGTTTTCAGAATGTGGAGCTACTCTATTACTTAAGATTATCCTTGCATTATTTCATTTGCAATAATCAGACAGATTAAGACATGTAAGACAAAAGTGATCTTGTAATTTCAAATCCTGGTTCTTTAGTGCAGCAAATAATGTTAATATTATGAGGTAATGTTTGCGTTGCTTTACTTTTCTTCATTTCCTGTGTGAATTTGCTTTTAAAATGTCGTTTTTTTCTAATTAAAATATTAAAATTGACAAAAAGAAAATCTTCCCATCAAGCATCCATCTATAATCCATAATTTGCAAACCACCAGAGGTCCCCCCACTCCCATTGTTTACCATTATAACTATAATTGTCACTGCTGCTATACATGCTGCTTTTCTGACTGTTGGACCATCTCTCAGCAGATCCTCTGTAGAGCTGACCTTCAGTGTAGCTGCTGTTACTCAGGTGTACTGACACATCAATCAGGAAGATATTATAAGCGGGTGTCCTTGAACATGTCAACAGTGAACAGATGTAAAGAGCAGTCAGGTGTTCAGGGAAGGAAAACGGAGGTGTTTTGTTTGTGCCGACCTCTAGTTCTGCTCTTTTAATTGACTTTGCAGTGGAATTATTTAGCTCGGTGGTTTTGTGTAAAAAAAAAACAACTCACAAACAATATTGATTCTATTCATCAGTCATTAGGCTCCTGCTGGACTGCAACAGTCCATACAGATTCTAAAGGAGCAAGAATGAAACTCAAAACTCACTGACTGAATTCACACATTTAATCTGTACAGGCTCTTTGTTTTATTGTCTTTGCTGACACGGTATAGCCTCCAGTTTTCCCCCTAGTTTGTAGATATCATCAGTGTGCTCGTCATGCTCCTCTTATCTCGCATGTTCCAGCACCAGACACAATCACGGTGAGACCGTTTCTGCCTGGATGTCCGGGGTTCGCAGCCTCAGAGTGACCTCTGAACAACTCGGTCACACTCAAAGTGATGCATGCTAACCCTGACCTCAACCAGACACCGGAGTGACAGCTAGCTGTATTACGGACAGACCCCTCTATCTTAACATCCTTGAAGAGTAGTTAGCGGCCATTTTCTGCCCATAGCCTCTCTGAAATGTTCACAGGGTGAAGGATGATTTTATCAATACCTCTTGTCACCCACAAGCTCCCACCACCAGCAACGGCTTGTTGTGAATCGAGGAGGCTATCACATAGGCGGCTTGTGAAAAACACACTTACCACAAGGATGCACAGTGTTGAAAGTATGTGCAGTTAGTATGGATTTTCCAACAAATAAAAGAGCAATCAAAGCATTGGCAGAAAGGACTAACATCATATAGAAATCAAAGCCACCATGGTTGTTTCTAGTGAGCAGTTATCGGTTATATGCATGTGTGTATACTCTATATTTCTATATTTTCAGCCTGTATTTTAACGTGTGTGTGCGTGTGTGTGTTCCACCTAATGCATATGTGTATGCATCCTTGCATGTACTTTCAAGGCCAGAAGCCATAAACCAGCTTTTGGAAGGCCGTTTCTGTCCGAAGAGGCCAATTGAAATTACTGCGGCTCATTTATCAGGAAAATGTGGTTCTCCGGGGGTCATGTTCTCACTGAGAGGGAGGCCAATTGCTTTGTCTCTGTGCAGAACTGGCACGTATACCTGAATCCAAAATACCATGCCCTGCAGTTATCGTACTCCATCCTCATCTTGCCTTATCTGGTGACACACCAGCCTCTCTAGCAGATACTCGAAGGTTGAGTCACAAGTAAAGAATCATCACCAGCGCTGGACTCACTCGGAAACAGAGAAAGATGTGTCATTGTAAACAGTGAGGTTTTTTTTCTAATCTGTTTTATGAAGCACTGAGGGAACCTGTTGGGACAAAAAAGAGACATCTTACCAGTAACTTTGAGGTGACAGCCAAATGTGACCCACAACCTTAACTTTCAAAAACTTGAAAAAATGTGCTCTTTTCAGAGTCAGAATCAGGATAAAGTTTAATCCAAGGTAGTTTAAAATAGTGTTGGAGTCAAGACCTCACTAACCAAGACCAAGACATACCCGAGACCAGAGTGCTCTGAGACAAGACAAGACAAGACATGTAGGGGTCGAGACTGAGTCAAGACCAAGACCATAAATATCAACGAAAAATCATCAACTTGTGTTTAGAGGGCGTGTCACTTAGACTGTAACACCGGGGGATAAAAATCAAACTACAAATGAATTGAAGTGATTTGTTCATTTAGCAAGCATCATTTTCCTTCTAATCTCAGTAATGATGACTGGTTTTGATTTAAAATCTGGACTGCGCCCAGTCCGAGACCAAGACAAGACAGAGAAAAAATGCTTTAGATTCTGAGACCTTTAAAAAGTGGTCTTGAGACAAAGACTGATTTCGAGTACTAGAAACACTAGGTTAAGACATATGAAGAAATGATGTTGGTTCATTGGAGCATGACAGTAAAATCAGAAATTGAAGATTAAGGAAAAAAGTGGCCTACATAAACTTCACATGGGATTATCTTCACCTAAATATATTCATACAAGACTCAAAAATATCCCCCTCCACAAGGTAATGAGAAACACAGTACAAAGAAAGACCAGAACATAAATAATTTATATTTCTAGGAGTGTATTTATAAAACGTTTCAAAAAGTTCAAAAATTACCTTTAATATTTATTTGCACATTTTAGT